TTCCCTCCCTCCCTCCCTCCCTCCCTCCCTCCCTCCCTTCCTTCCTCCCTCTTGTACCTTTCTCCATGATCCCTTTAGCCGCCTGCCCTAGTTCGGTCCCCGCCTTCACAGCAGCTCGCAGCATGTCCCCGGTCGACAAATGGCAGAGGCAATACTCCTCCTTGATGATCGGAGCTTGGGTACCTTTCCCAGAGCCAGGCGGACCTGAGGCACCGTGCCAGGGATGGAATGGCAGGGAAGTAGGAATGGAGGGGGGGAGGGAGGGTAAGAGGGAGGGCGAAGAGGAAAGAGGGAAAGCCAGAGGAGAGAGGACCCTTCGATCGGATCGAGATAAGACTCAACAAAATTTGAGCGCAATTGGTTGCATATCTACCACCTGTACCCTCCTCTTTTACTATGTCTTTTCTGCCTCCTTTCCTTCAGCTATCCTCCACGACTGCACATATTTACCGATAAAAATGGTCTTCTTTTCCTGTTTATTGGCGCATCGCAGTCGACGTTGGATTTCCTCGATCAGATGCTCTGTAGAGACCTTGGCCAGGCTAGCAGCATCGTGCAAGGATTGCATGTTCGGCAGTGAACGTTATCAATCCTTGTTTCACAGCAAGGTCGGGGGGGGATATGTAAGTGCCTTGAGTAGAGCCTTGATACACAAGAAAAGTACTAACGAGCGCGCCATCGATCATCCCAGAGAGTGTTGCATCTACAAAGATTTTTCGGAACGACGTACACACTCGGCGAGCTACCCTTAAGATAGAGGGCTTGTTACTAGAAGGCTTATTACTGAAGTCCCCTGACGATCGTCATGACCGGCGACTTGCAATAGGAGGCTACCTGCTGTCAATAATACTTTAATACACGATGATTCCACGAATCCACAACAAATTTAGCCGTAATCGGTCCAGATAGACAATTGAAAAGCTACACAAAGAATTTCCTCAGAACCAGTGAATGAGTAGGTTGCTTTCTGGATTTCTCGTGTGGTAATTCTTATGGCGTTTCGATCTTCGGCAGGCGGATCAGGCTAGGATCCTTCTGCCATAGACGCGATCAGTGCATGTCAAGTCGAATTCCCGCAATCTACCACACAATTGTGTCATGGATAATATGAACCCCTCCAATGCCGGAAATTGTCGTATGGAAGGCCAAAATGTCATTGTCAATTAATCTTTTTGGGATGCTGCTTTCCCTTCTGTGAGCATCCCGCGTCCGGCCATAGCGTGCGGGAAAAGGTTACTCGGGGGGCAAGAGACAATGGAATGGTGTACATCACACAAGCTCCCGATCACTGGACTCGTTTCTATCTTCATGCATATTGATGTGGCTGTGTGTAGGAGAATGAGATTTCTCCTGGAAGCTACAAATTTACGTTTTTGTTCTGGGAAGTATGATTCGCCAGCTATTCAGAGCAAGTTTCCAGCTTGCGTACAGGGCACACAGGTGTGCTACTTTCAGCGGACAATGAAGAAAAGAATAAACGTTTAAGATAGTACTTTCTAGTCCAAGATTCATCTATGTTCATGATAATTTTATCAAATAAATGCGTGCACGAATGTTCACTTTTGGTCGATCGTGTATCGGTTTTTGTCGCCAGTGCGAAGCCCGGCTGAGACCCTTTCTACCAGCCACGCTCCCACGCACAGTCGAAGATGTCCGCTGTATTTGGACTTTCAAAGGGATTTGAAGCTTATATGTGATTTAGGCTTTGCTAGGAGAAAGAAGCCACAGGCTCCAAGTAAAATACGCCCGTGCTACCATCACCACATTTACGATGTCTGTCAAGTCTTCGTTTTTCTAAGCGGTGTAAGAGATATAATGATCCAACCTAAGCAAGATGTGAAATTTCATTTTTTCCATTCAAAATGGAGGAGAATGCCGATACGTATCGCGCCTGAAGAACAATTGGAAGGTCTTGTAAAGCACCAGAGGTGAAACCCCTTATGCAAGAGGATCATGGTTTTCTCCGGATTGACACAAAGGATGAGGGTATATCTCCGGTCGGATGGTACATACAGGATTAGAACCGGGGCTGGACATGATATATTGAACAAGATATTTTGTCTGCTGCACATGAAAAGTGATATCGCGTGGGCTGATCTCAATTTGGAAAAAAAATACGTGTGTCTTCACTCACTTCGTGGGCAAGAACCCATGCCCCCCCGTTCACAGAAGGAAAAATAAAAGAGAAGAGAAAAAACAAGGACCAGCAATTCCGTGGTTGAAAGAGTCAAGGGTGATGCGAATAAACAAACCAAAACGCCACGATTAACCCAAGACGCAATTAATTCTTCAGTACAATTACTATTCTCCCTGAGAGTACAGACCAAATGATTCACCAAAGAATCGTGTACTAAGATAACCAACACGATAGACAACCAGAGAAGAAAGACACTGGTCGACGCCAGTTCTGTTGTCGTATAATAATATATCATACAAAATGATTAGGTGGACGCAAACCATGACACGACACACTTGTGATCAGCACATCGTAGTGGAGGCTGTAGGGCCCATAACGGACATAATGTAGGGCCCATGACGGCTCCCTTAACCTCCTATCGCTGATCCCTTGTTCCCATATCATCATGTCATTCATGTAATCGCGTCAAAGGGAAGAGATGAGAAGTCAGTCACGAGATGAACCCCTAACTGTCACTCCGATTCATATTTGAGAACGATATATCCATCTGTTTCGTTTATTCGTAATTGAGGATCTTGGTAAATTCTCTGCAGCCAAAATTTGTGCTGTCGATCCGTTGCATCTACTTCACAAGTGACTTGGCTCTTACGTCTAAGAAGTGATATGTTTCCCGCATTTTTGCCTGGCAGTGGACTTATCGACGCCGGAAATCTCCCATTACTTCATGCCTATCCACTGTACGAGTGGTTCTTATACGAGTGGTTCTTAAATCCTCATCAAATCTGAAATTCCACGTCGCTTTTTGAATGCCAGATTGCATTATTCATTGAGAGATTCCAGGTAATCCTTCAAGCAGACAAGGACTGAATCACTCTCGCTGCACGTGCTGGGAATGTCTACGTCAATTCCTTCGTTGTTGACATCATTTCCAAGCGGTGTAAGCCATTTTGATGTCGTAATTTTGACTGCACTACCATTGGTCACTTCTTCTACAGATTGCGCGACCCCCTTGCCAAAAGTGCGTTCTCCCACGATTTTTGCTCGCTTATTTTCGCGTAGTGCTGCCGAAACGATCTCTGAAGCTGAAGCGGATTGCTTGTTGACCAAAATTAAGATAGGTATAGATATCTCTATACCGTCGGCATCGCTTCGGACGATTTTTGACGTGAAGGGATCAATTTCGGAATAAATTATCGTGGACTTCGGCAAAAACAAGCTGCTCACATTTTTAGCACTATCAAGTAGTCCACCTGCATTACCTCTGAGATCTAATACTATGAATCGGATGTTTTCATAGAATGTTTTAAGCGCTCGTTCGATAAGATCGGCGGTAGTTGTACTGAACCTGTCAACTTTCAAGATACCATACTTATCACCACCAAATTCCTCCACGGAAGCGGATACAGAAGGATTTTCAACAGACTGTCTAACTAGACAAAGTTCTTGGATGACTCCATTGGCGACTGAGAGAATATCCATACAGACGTTTGTCTCTGGAGGCCCCCTAAGCAGCTGTACGATGACTTCTGTTGTCAAATTCTCGGTTGATTGACCATCTACAGACAGTACTATGTCACCAGGCTTCACGCCACCCTTTTTGGCTGGTCCTTCTAAGACTATTTCGATAGTGGCCTAGGATATCGTTGAAAGGCCGAGAAGAGGTAAAATGATGTGCTTGATTTGGACATTTTGCATGTGACGTACATTTTGCATGCGGACACCGACACCTGCAAATTCTTTCTCAAGTGTATCGACTTGAAACTCCATGTATTCACTCGGTGAAAGGAATCTTGTGTAATTATCCTGAAGCAAATCTAGCATAGCCTGCCCATGCGCGAAATTTTCCAATCAACTTTTTATGCCAAAATATTTGAGCAGGTTAGACACATACATACCCTCGTAGCGTTGTAAGCCTCCTCCATCGAAGCATAATCTTTTCTGATAGAATTCTGTAACACGGTGAGCCAAGGCTGTCCATTAAAGGTTCTGTCGAAGAACATCCCGTCCACAAGTTTCCATACATCCTGTGGAACAAGGCGTTATGAGAACAAAGGATATGATGGAATATTTCTTATTATTGTCGGTCTCTCACGTAATAAGACTTCTAAAGCGTACCGCAATAAGCTGTTGCTCCTGTGACAAGCTTCCAAGCTTTGCTTTCCGGATTACGCGGTACACGGATGAAGTAGATTCCCAGACAAGTGTTACATGGGATCCAAAACAGGAACAACTCTTTGACACCTCTGCCCATTGGAAATAGAATGGTACAGGCTCTTCTGTCGTGAAGGAGCAATACTCGTAACAGTCACGAGCAATGTCTGTCGAGTTTGGAGCATGAAGTCTGCGTAAGACGGGCGAAGGGCGTCCTTCCTCCAACGGCTGCTGAAATTTGGCGTAAAGTGAGTACCCATCTGGACTCCAGTCGCTAGTATTTGTTGTGTCGTCGTGCTGACATTAAGGGACCGAGTATATGAGGGAGAAGCAGGGCTACATGAGCGAATCAATTCCTTAACTTACGCCTTATCGCTCCCATTGCTGAAGTTCTCCTTCGATGTTTTGTTTAAAGTATCTTTTCTTCATATGATTGTCATCCAACTGACCTCTATGATAATATATGGTCTGTAACATGCTGTGATATTTCCGTTGCTAAGGTATGTGGCGGTGCCGAAGCGAGGAAGAGTTCGACTACTCCCTTTAAACTAGGAGTAGAAGTTCGCCTATTAGATATTTGCTCATAATACTTATCGGATACATTGACAATAGCATTCCATTCCTAAAATACCTGGAATAGTATTCGACGTCGCGAGACGCGATGATCTAGCACATTGAAAAGGTAAATCTCTTCGTCACTCCGCTTGAGCGTCACAGGGCGATTTCTTTTCTTGTCGACTCGAAAAGAGGAAAATCGTAAGGATGGTGGACTTGTTATCTTCAAAACCATATTTGTAGGTGCTTTAATGACATTCCTATCCATTTTGGCGATTTTCAGTCGCACGCGAAAGACAACCGAATCTTTCCGTATTCGCCTTGTTGACCTGACCCTTACAAAAGGGCAAGATTCTTCCGATACCGTGGTAACAAACGCGACCATGATCACGGCAAAAGTGAGTAAATGTCTTGTTATATCTTTCCACGCCATGATACCTGTTAGGGGCCCATACACGACACAGTACAGGTGTTTCTGAGTGAACCTGAATTAAATCTTGGCCCATCGTTGAGATGTCACAATGAAAAAAAGAGTTTCCTCGTCAGAATTCATAAAGTTATGAATGACTCCGTGTGTTTTCGAGCATCCAACAGCAAAAGATAACGGATTTTGAACCCCTTCCACAACAAGAATCGAGCCTTACTCATGGGCTGCGCGAGAGGAAGCTGGGGCGGAACCCGTGGGGAGGGGATGATCGCACTTGGAAAATCAAAGTGGAATCAAAAATGCGAGTGGAGATGTCGCTGTGCGAAGAATATGCGAATAAAGTGTGATTGAGATATATACCATTTCTAGGGTGTATAGGGTCCACAGAAGGCTCCTAAGGCGTTTCTGAAGGCCAAACGAGAAAGGACTGAGATTCTGGCCCTGGGCACGGACGGATCTGAGCGCCTGAGGGCCTTGTTCTTCGCTTATTTGGGGAAATGTCTTCCTTACAGCTTGACTTTCCATTTATGTCTCCTCTTTATCTATTGCATGTGCATATTTCCACTCTCCATTGTGAGTAAAAGACTGTAATTCAACTTCACCACTAATCACTTTTCCCCTAAGCCTAGCCCTACTCGCAGTCGTCTAAACGGCTCAGCCTCCCAACCCTAACCTTTCGGCGACTCGTCGATCCTGGATGCCGCTAAGGCACCTACTGGAATGTAGATACGCATTTACTCTTATTAAAGCCGTAAACCTCTGTAAAATGACCGTACGATGGAAAAGTGTGGTCAAGGTGTACACCATCCGAGTAGAGCACTCGCACTTACACTTTCGCGTATTCCACACTTTCACACTTTGAGGGAAGTGCGCACATTCTCTGCCTGTGGACTGGAAAAAAGGCGAGAGCAAGCAGTGAATCGTCCGTTCCAGATCCGTCTGAAAAGACTGGAAAACAATACGGCTTCTGCGCAAAAGTATTGCAAGCTGGATTTCCTTGTAATGGTGTTAAGTCATGAGAATGACGAGTATAGTACAGTGAAATTCGTCTCATGTGCGGAGGCTCAACGAACGCAACGAGAAAATTTCCTAGAAGACATAAAAGGGCCCCATGATAAGGAAATATAATTTCTCCAACGAAAACCAATGCACGAATATGTGCTCTGTTATGTTTTTAATTTGATATAACTATATATGTATAAATATTGCAAAAGGCGACGTAGATTTACTTTGATAAGAGTGTGAGGTTCGAAATGTCCCCAGACTTGGGAGTCACGTGTAGATGAGGTAGACCAGATTGATCGGGAAGACACCTTTCCTGGTCGAGCTGTATTCGTGACAGATATGATAGATACAGATGAAGTAGATGTAGATGTGGTAAATATGACGCATGGATAGCCGTCTGTCCGACTTAATTGGTAGGTTAGGCTTCCTACTTCCTCCGAAGATCTTGCTTTCATAGTGCGAAAGTTCTATGGAGCCGGTAGAAACGGGTATCATTGCTGTACACGTTGAACAGAGTCACTTTACCTCTCGCGAAAAAAATGGCGAAATCCATAGACTTCGACGGATAGCCAAACACCGGTCTCGTGACCTCCTGTGTGACGCTTCATGAGAACCAAAGTATTCTAGCGCCACAGAGAATATGGATGACACTTCATCTCTAAGCAGCGTTCATCTTTGCAATGGATATGTCAATTGTAAAATAAATATGATATGACACTTGATCTGATTGCTTTTCGGAGTGCTCTGTTATCAAGCTTGTACGAATTGCAGTTTTAGTCGGGCCTTCTATATTGGAAATGCACAACTTGGGATGAGTCATGAGAATGTGAACGAAAGGAAGTACGTGCATATTTAACGAGTCCGCCTACGAATGAAAGTCGTGGACTGTGAGTCTATATGTGGATTGAATGGATTGTAAGTTATCGATTGCACGACTATGTAAGCTATTGTTATGACTGCATCTATGGACTTGACAGGATCTTGCTCGTAGACGAGTAACGATCCAAATGGTGGCGTGGGAACCAGGGACAGGCCATCATGTCCTCCAGGGGGACGCATCGGAAACACACACATTGACCCCAAGAATTATTAAGATCGCGCAAAAAAGAATGAGAAGAAATGTTGGATTGGCGATTGGCGACGAACGGCTATTGAAAGAATATTCTTCATATGCTCTGGATGCGTTGACAAAGTGTGCAAGATCTTATCTACCCTCCCCTGAATGAAATCTCGTAACTTATCTTCTCCTTCCTATTTACCCCCCCTTTTCCTAGAACATTTTCCTGATTTTTGTGCAATTTTGTAATCGATTAAGTTTCTCACAGAATCTGTCGCTTGCTCCACGTTCCCGCCTGGCTCTTCCTCCTTGATATCTGAGACTTGTTGCCTATCGAAAGCTTCCTCCTGCAGTTGGTGTCTTCGTACGTGGATTGAAACATCATTTTGCGTGTCTCTCTTTGCCTTCGATGTCGAGAAGAAGTCTCCATACACCCGCAAGGCCTGTTCGTCCATCCCGTCGGTGTCCTTGTCGTGTGCCCACAACCATTCAATGCCCTCTTCCAGCATAGCCACCATGCTCCGCACATCGTCGTCGGCTCCACGAAAAGATGGGTCCTGTCGAAGAGCGTCCAATTCGTTAGCGAATATCTCGGTCGTGTACGACACATAGGCCTCTCTCACTCTTGACTTCATAGCTTCCGTTTCCGCTTTGGTCACGACATACCGATCCGTCTGTCGAGGATCACTTTGGGTAATTTGCCTGGCCCAAAGAGTGTCTATCGCGTTTTGATTCGCTCGAATTTTAGACAAGACTGTGGAAGGAGAGGTGCCGGTAGGGCTAGTAGGAGAGGAAGTATTTGCTCGGGGAGATACTAGGAGAGCATTCATCAGGCTCCATAGCCTCTGATGTAACGCAAGCAGTTGTTCGCCCAGGTCATCGTTTGAAGCACCACCGCTCATACTCGTCCCCAACGTTCACCTGTGCATGTATTGCCGCGTCCGAGATGTCAATCACGGGGAAATGGAAAGGAAAGCAGTCGAGAGGTTGACTGGGAGGTTGAAGCATGTGATGGAAGAGGTACCCTCGATGCGCAGGGGCATGAACACTCTTTTGATCTGGTTAAACAATGTCGTGTGGGGCTATAAGTGACTGATGTTTCTCAATGTGTAGACTATATTGCCTTCGACAATTCAGTAGCGGTGTTTCAGAGGAAAAGGACACGTGCCAATGCCTTTGGTGCGTTTCGAGTTTGAAGCGGGCTGGTACACAAGGATCGTAGTTTGGAGGCTGTGTTTATCACTTTTTAAAACCCATTTCCCACATGATTTGATGAGGCGGGCCAGCTGTATTTAATGTCTTAATATGTGGACGAGCCTCACGACCAATCTGAACTTCAACACTTTTTTCCTTCTCCCTTTTCCGTACTCGTCGGACAGATTGTCCTCCTTGTCATGACGGACACCGCCGGGGCAGCAGAGCTCACCCTTTCCAGTCACACCCCAAAATGCCTTCTACTGAAGGGCCCCACCTATGCGCACAAAGACACATTGCGCACCATGGGTGGGAAGTACTGCCGACCCCTGCAGGGATGGGTATTCAGCAAAAAGACACGTGGAGCGGCGCTCACTGCATGGGTGTCGAAAGTTAAGAGCCACGGTCATGACGCACGTCACCACACATCGGTCCCTCCTGCTCCTTCTGCAGGTGCAGGCCGCAAAAGGAGCAGAGCCACAGGCCCAGGGAGAGAAAGGGAGGACATGGGAAAAAAGAAGGGAGGGAAAGCGCCGCATCAAAGGGCCAGGGCGGCCTCCTCTTCGAGCGTTCCCACAGAGAGTAAGCTTGTAGGGAGGAAACGGCGGCATAGCATACGCTGTTGCCGTCTTGCTCGTGAAAAGAGCGGGGATGTGAAAGAAGAAGATGCGTCGCCGCTCCCAAGGAGGAGAGCAGGTCGGAAGCGTGTAGACTACCAGGAGAAGGAGGAGGAAGAGGCGGAGGGAGGGGAGGGGAGGGGGAGGAAGGTACGACCGTCGCGACGGGTGACGTGGAAAATCACAGAGGAGGAGGAGGAAGAAGTAAGGATGGAGGAGGAGGAAGAGGAGGAGGAGAGCAGCGGCGATGACGTCGACTCGTGGAGTGAGGGGGAGGAAGACGGAGAAGAGGAGGAAGGGGAGGATGAGGAGGAAGAGGAGGAGGAGGAATCGTATGAGGGAGAGAGTGAGGACGATGACGACGAGGAGGAAGGATGGGATGAGGCGGAGGTATGGAAACAGCTGACCTCAACGGCAAGGCAGCGTGCCGCAGCTGCCAAGC